GCAAGGGCCCGGGAGAGGAAAGAGCTGCCAGCACAGGGCAGCTGAGAGCAGGGCTGATGGACAGAGCGGTTGTCCCCCTCTGCAGTCAGGGACAGTCCCTTTGCCTCTCAGGACCCACAAGATTTCTCTTTCAATGCAGCAGAAATGCCAGGGGTTTCTGCATGAGTAACCCTCCTCAGCTGTGGCGGGGCAACTGGAAGAGAAGACACAAAACACAATCCCCACAGCTCTGCAGTCAGGTGAGTTGGGAGCGACAGTGCTGAAAATCTCTGCTACCACCAGTGGATTTAATCCATGTTCACCTGGTGTTCCTTCTTACCTACTGCTGTAGGGCAGGACAGACTCCTGCAGAGCTCTCTGCTTGCTGGGGCACCCTCAGCCAGCACCAATCAGAGCTCAGTTAAGGTCTTCCTAAAAAGGGAAAGGTGGCTTTGGGGGTTTCTATAAAAAAATCAATGTATTTGTAAGGCAGTGTGGGGGATTTTTATGAGAAACAGAATAGATGTTTTTTTCAAATAATTCCGCCTAATTTCTAACTTCTACTATTTCTTTGTGTCAGTGACCTCTCTTCCTTGGACAGGTCCCCATGCCTAGAGAGAGAAAATGTCCAATGCCAGCTTGATCACCCATTTCCTCCTCCTGGCATTCGCAGACACACGGGAGCTGCAGCTCTTGCACTTCTGGCTCTTCCTGGGCATCTACCTGGCTGCCCTCCTGGGCAACGGCCTCATCATCACTGCCATAGCCTGCGACCACCGCCTCCACACCCCCATGTACTTCTTCCTACTCAACCTATCCCTTGTTGACCTCGGCTCCATCTCCACCACCATCCCTAAATCCATGGCCAATTCTTTCTGGGGCACCCAGGACATCTTCTACCGAGGGTGTGTGGCCCAGCTCTTTTTCTTATTCTTTTTTATGTCAGTTGAGTATTTTCTTCTCACTGTCATGGCATATGACCGCTACATTGCCATCTGCAAACCCCTGCACTACGGGACCCTCCCGGGCAGCAGAGCTTGTGTCCACATGGCAGCAGCTGCCTGGGGCAGTGGGTTACTCTATGCTGTCCTGCACACGGCCAATACATTTTCACTTCCCCTCTGCAAGGGCAATGCTGTGGACCAGTTCTTCTGTGAAATCCCCCAGATCCTCAAGCTCTCATGCTCACACTCCTACATCAGGGAGGCTGGGCTTATTGTAGTCAGTGTGTGTTTAGGTTTTGGGTGTTTTCTTTTCATCATGGTGTCCTATGTGCAGATCTTCAGGGCTGTGCTGAGGATCCCCTCTCAGCACGGACGGCACAAAGCCTTTTCCACGTGCCTCCCTCACCTGGCTGTGGTCTCCCTGTTTCTCAGCACCGGCACGTTTTCACACCTGAAACCCCCCTCTGTCTCCTCCTCCTCATCCCTGGACCTGGTGGTGGCAGTCCTGTACTCAGTGGTTCCTCCAGCAGTGAACCCCCTTATCTACAGCGTGAGGAACCATGAGCTCAAGGACGCCCTATGGAAACTGGCGCAATGGATGCAGTATCACCAACAATAACCTGTCTCTAATTCTCTGCACATTTCCCGGAGTTTATCTTTGGCCAGAAATCTGCATTTTTCTTTTTGTAGATAATCTGTCTTATATGTATCCTTCTTGGTTTATACTGCTGTTGAGGTTTGATCCTGTTGTGTTTTACCCTTGCACACACTCTGTCACACGTGGCCTGTTGGATAGCAACTCATCAATGAAAGGTCATCTCCCATGTGCGGTGCCTGGGTGCTGGGCTCTTCCTACAAAGGTGCTTAGAAGAAAATACCAATAAATTGGTCTTTTAAGGAGTCTGTTCTCCTTGGGTCTCCCTTTGTTTGTGGTGAAGCTCCTCCTACCTTTGCGTTGAACTGTGACCGAAGTTCTGGTTTTAAAGGCTTTCTTCATGGGGAGATGATGCATGAGCTCCCCATTACCATTATTTCCTCAGGTTGCTTCATGTATGACATGACTTTCTGGAAATCAATTTGGAAGGGTGAGGAAGAGATGAAGGATGGGACCTCACCACCTGCCCTGGGGTTGGAATGAATAAAGACTCAGAAGGTGAAAGGGGAGTCCCTCCAAAGGAAAGCGCTAGATGGAGGTAACCACAAACATGGACTCTGCAGTGCCATGGGAGTCAGTGGGGACTCGGCAAGAAAAGGGAAGGGAGACTGAAGAGATGGAGGAGCTGCCTGAGGACCCTGAGCCCCAGGACTCTGGTGCTGTCACAGGGAATGGGCCTAGTGGCAGCAGAGAGGGGGATAAATTCAATTTGGGCTGAGAAATACCTACATTCTGAATTCAGGCGAGCCAGGGAGTGAGTAGCCTCTGTTTGCTGATGCCCTTGGGGCCGGCACCAGCAAAAAGGCGGATGGGGAGCCTGAAGCCCCCTCTCTGCCCCACAGCAGCTGCTGTGCCCTTCAGAGGGTCTGGGGCTGTGGGGTGAGTCCCAGCGCTCTGCAGCACCCTGCGGGGGGCAGTGCCTTGGGGTCAGCCCAGAGTGGGCTGCTCTGAGGTGCTGGGCTGGGGAGAGGGCAGGGGAGGTGGGGAGAGCTGGGGAGGAGGAGGGCTGGGCTGGAATAAACCTAGAGGGAGTAAAAACGCCCGTGTAGAGCTGAGCTGCGTGAGTGTGCAGGGTAGGGTCAGCCTGCACTCACAGTGCAGAGCCAGTTGACACGTTTAAGGAAGCAAGGCATCAAAAGTGCAGAAGAGAGGGGCCTGGTCTGTGCCATGTTCCCTTGACACCCCGGAGAAGCTGCCCCAGGATAATTGTCCCAGATCAATTCCACACACTGGACATTTCCATCTCTGGCCATACACCCCAGCCCTGAGGAGGGATCTTTGCTGCATGGCCACCCTCGTCCTCCTCTGGGGCTCACTGATACCCAACTCCACAGCCATCATTAATAAAAAGGGAAACAGTTTCCTACTGACCCTCGTTAAACTGACCCTCATTATAATCCTATAGCCCTTCCCAAAGTTGGCCTCTAAGCCAAGAACATTTCTGACAGCTCCAGCTCGATCAGATGCTCATGGCCTTGTCTAGACAACTTTTGAAAAATTTCATTGCCGGAGATCCACAGTCAGAAGAGTTGTTTACATTCTGTTTACAGCCTAAAGCACCCCATGCTCTGCAGAGATGTCATTTCCTTACCTCTGGCCAGAAACTTCCCTATTTCAACCTCTGACTGTTGTCCGTTACTCTCCTGTCCAGCACTGCGGTGACAACACTGGTTTCATTTTCCTGAAAACCTCCCCCTAGGGACTGGCAGGTGACCAGGAGGTTCCCAGGGCCTTTCCTCTACTCTGCTCTGGTGAGACCTCATCTGGAGCCCTCAGCACAAGAAGGACATGGACCTGTTGGAGCGGGGCCAGAGGAGGGCTACTAAAATGCTCCGAGGGCTGGAGCCCCTCTGCTATGAGGCCAGGCTGGGAGAGTTGGGGGTGTTCAGCCTGGAGAAGAGAAGGCTGTGGGCAGAGCTGAGTGCGGTCGGTCAGGGCTTCAAGGGGGCCCAGAGGAAAGGGGGGGACAAGCTTTTTAGCAGGGCCAGCTGGGACAGGACAAGGGGGGATGGCTTTAAACTGAAGCAGGGGAGGTTTAGACTGGATCTAAGGAAGAAATTCTTGGCTGTGAGCAACCTGATCTGGTTAAAGGTGTCCCTGCTCCTGCCAGGGGGGTTGGGCTGGGTGACCTCTAGGGGTCCCTTCCCACCCAAACCATTCTGTGATTCTATGATAACTTTTCCATCACATACAATTTGAGTACAAGCTCCTACCCCATCAATACGACAGCCTCAGGGAGCCTTCTTGGAGCTCTCCCCGCTAAGCAGCCTGGCTGCACAGCGGTGATCTCCCCTTGAGCTGGGACACCTCTCAAGGTTGCTCCCAGAGGCTGAGAGACCTCTGAGCAACTGCAGACCTTTGGGAAGTGACCAATAATACACATAACTTTGTGTCACAGCAGACTAAGATTTTGTATTGGTAACTTTGATTCTTTATTGGTAACTTTTAATCATTGGTATATCGGGGGCTGTGGAATGGAGTGAACTTCCCCATCAAATTTGCTAAGTTTCAATAAAACCACTTTTGCTGCTGCCTTTGGCAGTGGTTCTTGAAGCAGCCTAAATCACCCATCCATGAAAAACTGGCGTAGTCAGCAGGATTCTAAATCAGGATCTGCAACAGAAGACCTTATTGCAGCCATGCCAGATGTAGAGGAGACTGATGAGATGGAGAGAGACTTTGTACCAGGACCTGTAGGGATAGGACAAGGGGTAACAGTTCTAAAATACAAGAGGGTGGATTTAGATTGGACATAAGAAGAAATTTTTTTATGGTGAGGTGGATGAGGTGCTGGAACAGGTTGCCCAGAGAAGTTTTGGATGCCCCACCCCTGGCAGAGTTCAAGGTCAGGTTGGACAGGGCTCTGAGCGACCTGGCCTAGCAAAAGATGGCCCTGCCCACTGCAGGGGGTTGGACTGGATGGGCTCTAAAGGTGCCTTTCCAACCCAGACCGTTCCATGATGCCACGGTTCTGTGAGTCTCTGAGTCACAGAACCACAGAATCACACAGAATCCCAGAACGGGAAGGGTTGGAAGGGCCCTCGGGAGCTCACCCAGTGCCACCCCCCTGCTCAAGCAGGCTCACCCAGAGCAGGGGGCACAGGACAGCAGCCAGGCGGGGGTTGAAGATCTCCAGAGAAGGAGACTCCACAGCCCCCCTGGGCAGCCTGGGCC